TGAGGAATGCGGTATAATAAAAGAAAGTCTTTCGATTTAAAGCTTTCGTGACTGCAGGGATTCATCTTCTTGGTTCTTTCGGTAAAGTCACGTAGAAGGGAAAAAATAAAATAATAAAAATAAAACTTAATAAAATTATTCTCACGACGTTTCGGCCACAACACAAGCAGCCATCCTCAGGTGAAGAACAGGTCTGTCGGAAAGACAGCGTCTGAATGAGCACCACCTCGCTTGGCAGCGCACACCTAAGCTGGGTTGGAGGGGGATGGGCGTCTTTACAAATTATTTTGCATATCAAGAGTAAATTTTACATATTTATGGGAAATGCAGATATGGGATTAGTCACTACTTGTGGAATGCGTAGGAGGTGGGGGGGGGTTCAAAGTCATATTATGCCCGTGCATTATGCAGGATTAGGAGCATCAAAGGGAGGGAGTAGGGTGAGCAGTAATAAAGGGAAGGAATTTTAATAGTAAGGAGCTGCAGCAGCTAAACCACCACGTAAAAAACTAAAATATAAACTACATCAGTATCATCAATATACTATAAGCTGAGCTACTAACAGTAAGTCATAGATTACAATTCTATGTCGCAAAAAATAGAATATGCCTCCAGCTAAACTTTTTTCTCTTACATCACACGGGTCTTCCCCGTACTATATACTGCCATAGACAAACCCAACATGAAATTATATACTGCATTACTATACACCACCTTATACCTTAGACTATACATCGTAATATTACACTATGTATTATTCTACCTAACCTACTGTATACCACACTGCTGTATATTCACTATACAATTACGATACTATATTATATTATAATGTTTAATACAATGTATAAGGTAATATATAGTTTCGTAATTGTATAGTGAATATACAGCAGTGTGATATACAGTAGGGTGGGTAGAATAATACATAGTGTAATATTACAATGTATAGTCTAAGGTATAGGGTGGTGTATAGTAATGCAGTATATAATTTCATGTTGGGTTTGTCTATGGCAGTATATAGTACGGGGTAGACCAGTGTGATGTAAGAGAAAAAAGTTTAGCTGGAAGCATATTCTATTTTTTGCGACATAGATTTGTAATCTATGACTTACTGTTAGTAGCTCAGCTTATTGGAGAGTATATTTAGTATATTGATAATACTGATGTAGTTTATATTTTAGTCTTTAACGTGGTGGTTTAGCTGCTGCAGCTCCTTACTATTAAAATTCCTTCCCTTTATTACTGCTAACCCTACTCCCTCCCTTTGATGCTGCTAATCCTGCATAATGCACGGGCATAATATGACTTTGAACCCCCCCCCCCACCTCCTACGCATTCCACAAGTAGTGACTAATCCCATATCTGTAGTTCCCATAAATATGCTAAACTCCTCTTGATATGCAATTTCCTTCGTCAAGGCGCCCTTCCCCCTCTAACCCAGTTTAGGTGTGAGCTGCCAAGCCTGGTGGTGCTCATTCTGTCTTTCCGACAGACCTGTTCTTCACCTGAGGACGGCTGCTTGCGTTGTGGCCGAAACGTCGTGAGAATTATTTTATTATGTTTTATTTTTATTATTTTATTATTTCCCCTCTACGTGACTTTACCGAAAGAACCAAGAAGAAAAGAAAGCCTTATCAGAAAATACGTATCATTAAACACTCACCAAATTTTGGGTAACTATATAACCATTACATTTCCCGGTATTAAGGAATTCCTGTTTAGGAACACAACTCTACTAAAATCTAGTTTTCAATGGGACTCTTTACAGGTTAGTGTAACTCCGTATTACGGAGATAATGTGTGATACTTTTTTACCTTCGTTGGAAAACGTACAAATCAAAGGTTTGACCTTAATCCTTTGAAATTTTAATAGGCCCAATTACTCCTGCGATAACAAAACGAATCTTATCAAAACTTAATATCGTGCTCTAAAAATTATCAGCAAAAACCTAATAGGTGTGTCTCATCATCCTTTGGGGGTGAGTGTATGAACAGATTTGTATAACTTCATCTGTCCTCGTCACGCGTTTTGAGTGGTGCGTCTTACATTGCGGAGGGGATCTTCCATTGTTAATATTTATCATACAAATGACACAACTCTGTCCTAACACGTAGAGCTCGAAGAATCGTTACGAATTACACGAACCATATGAATCCCTAAGAATTGTCAGGGGTCAGCAACCTTTCAAAAAGGGAGAGCGACCTTTTTGACCAAAATATTTCGAGAGCCACATCACGCGCACAGCTACTTGTATACAACAGGTGACAAACACATTCTTACTTAAATAAACAAAATTGGTGATGGAATAAACTGCATCTATTCAGTTCCCCTCCCCTTAGTTATTAATTAACAATACAGTTTGACTGTTGTAGATGTGTCAATCACCAAGGCATTCAAGAGTGGCCCCAATTCCCTGCCATATTTAATACAAAATATTCACGTTAAATTATATAAGAAGAGGGTTTACCCTTTATGGCAATAAAACAGGTGTTAAGATTTACACTATGAGATCTCTTTTACCAGTGGCAAAATATAGTGGTAGGTTTTTACCCTTTTAAACTGGTACAAAACTGACACCTTTATACAACACATCATGTTTGCAATAACCACAACACAAGTAGTCAAACATGCAAACAAAAAGAAGCAACTCTGATACTGATAATACTATGCACTGTCCTTGAAGTTGAAGTTGATTGGTCCACACCCGAGACGGCTTTCTTTCGAGCCTCGTCCTCATTATCAAAGTTGCTTCTTTTTGTTTGCATTTTTGACTACTTGTGTTGTGGTTATTGCAAACATGATGCCTTGTATAAAGGTGTCAGTTTTGTACCAGTTTAAAAGGGTAAAAACCTACCACTATATTTTGCCACTTGTAAAAGAGATCTCATAGTGTAAATGCTTACCCCGAGCTCTCAATACTCTGATATTGCACTGTGTTTGAGTTGTACGCCTTCTGGTGTCATCTGGTCCAACACCAATGGGGACTAGGCTCTAAAGAAAGCCGTCTCGGGTGTGGACCAATCAACTTCAACTTCAAGAACAATGCATATTATTATCATTATCAGAGTTGCTTCTTTTTGTTTGCATTTTTGACTACTTGTGTTGTGGTTATTGTAAACATGATGCCTTATATAAAGGTGTCAGTTTTGTACCAGTTTAAAAGGGTAAAAACCTACCACTATATTTTGCCACTGGTAAAAGAGATCTCATAGTGTAAATGCTTACCCGAGCTCTCAATACTCTGATATTGCACTGTGTTTGAGTTGTACGCCTTCTGGTGTTATCTGGTCCAACACCAATTGGGACTAGGCTCTAAAAAAAGCCGTCTCGGGTGTGGACCAATCAACTTCAAGGACAGTGCATATTATTATAGTTATCAGAGTTGCGTCTTTTTGTTAGCATTTTTGACTACTTGTGTTGTGGTTATTGCAAACATGATGCCTTGTATAAAGGTGTCAGTTTTGTACCAGTTTAAAAGGGTAAAAACCTACCACTAGGTGTTCAGATGTTAAAATAGCAAACAGAAACCTTTTGAAAGGAATCATGTCTGCATTAACCACACGTACTTGTGGTGAACATGCAAAAAAATATGCTCTGCTAATTTATGCATTGTCTTTAAGTTAAACTATGCTCAAGATTTGTTGTTGTCTTTAAACGGTTGCCCGCAAGGGGTCAGCCGAAGAACCACGAAGGGGACGCCAAAGAGCAGCAAGGAGGCAGCCAAAAAGCCGCAAGGGGCAGCCAAAGAGCCCCAAGGGGGCAGCCAAAGAGTCACAAGGAGGCAGCCAAAGAGTCGCAAGGGGGCATCCAAAGGGTCGCAAGGGGGCAGCCAAAGAGACTCCGGAGCCGCAGGTTGCCGACCCGTGATCATCACGAACTCGTAGTCAAAGAAAACCCCTAAGAGGTCATGAGAACCATACAAATTATAGATTACCCAAATAAGCGTACCCAATGTTTGGTCATACTGCGTTGGCAGTGGTGCACAAAGAAAACCAAAAAAAACATGTTCGTCAATAACACTGAGAACAATGACGACCCAAAGAAATTACACTTAGTACCCTATTAATCGTAGAGAACCCTAATAATCATAAATCCCTGCTAATCGTGTTCAACCATACGGGTCATTGGAACCCCGACAAAGCAAACCCATAGGAATCACCTAGAACCCTGAGAATAATATAAAACCCTAAGGATTCTATACAACCCTGAGAATCATATAAAACCCTAAAAAAAATCCTATGGAAATCGACTAACGTAGAACCCCGAGGCTGAAACATGCGCCTATATCATTCAGATTATTTTTCTGCTAAAAATGTTCACGTAATAAGCCACTTCGTTGAGCTATCATTTGTGGCCAGGTCGCTTCTGAAAAATAAGCTCATAGCTCAGTGGGCCTCACCTGGTCAGATAAGGAAAAGCATAGTTTAGTTTTATTTCTATATATTTCTTAAAAGCTATTTGTTTACCTTCACTATACTTTGCACTCCTATCGTGTCTTTTTCCCCCGTAGTGTTTGTTGTCGTAACGTCCTGGCCCCGCCCGTGGGCCCCCTCACTGGACACCTGTGAGCAAAAGAGCTTTACGGCTCATCGGATTCCTTCCGCGGTAATAAATACATAATTCTAGATTTGAAGCTTTCGTGACTGCAAGGATTCATACTCTTAGGTTTTTTCGGTAAAGTCACGTAGGTAAAAATAAATAATAAAAATAATAGAAATAATAATAGAAATAAAATTATAAATCACGACATTTCGGATGCAACACAAGTCTCCGTCATCAGGTGGGACCGTCACAGCCAGATTTACTGTATCACTTAATACAGTAATTTATAATTTTATTTATATTACAATTTATATTAATTTATTATTTATTTTTACCTACGTGACTTTACCGAAAAAAACTAAGAGAATAAATAAATATTCGAAGCGCGCTGACGTCACGCCTGGTCAACCAATCGGAGGCGAGCGTGCCCCCCCCCCCCCGCCACCCCACCCCACTCTGTCTCATCTGTTGTAGAATTTCAAGAGCAGAGGCCTACCGCTGAGGGCTACGATAAGGACGATGCCGAATTCTCCGCAACCCTCTCGCGATTAAAGATCAGCAGACGTCTTCGCATACGTGCGTGCAATCCCTTAGCGATTGACGGCAAGAGTAAGCGCCAGGAGACGCGTGGGTTTGGGTAAGTGCTCTGCGAACGTGTGTGGGTGCCGATTTGTGGTTGTAACCCAACCTCGCGATGTTAAACTTTGATGACAGTGCATCCGCCGATAAAGTTTGCCTTCCTTTTCCGCTAAAATAATTCTCCATACGTTCTATCGAGACCGCTTAAGTGCTATTTGCATTGTTTGTTGTTCAAAGTAAAATTTGGTAATGTAAACTTGTGGTGTTTTAATTTGCGGGCTGCCACACGGTCACCTTTACAACGCAAGGCCTTGAAACAGTTCACTCTGGAAACTCGCTTTAGAGCTCTAATTAAGTTCAAAGTGTAACGATACGAGTTGCGGGGGATTTATAAAACTTGATTCCCAACCTCCCTCGCCCCATTCCCCGGCTCCCCAGTTGCTAAGCACAGTGGCTAGGAGATGTTAACTCCCTCGCCTGATATGCAGGAGGTCGTGGGTTCGATCACCAACCCTGACGCATGCTGCTGTATATTTGGAGTTTGTGTGTCTCTCTCTCATCATCATCACGGTGGCTAGGAGATGTTAACTACCTCGCCTGATATGCAGGAACCATGGGTTCGATCCCGACCCTGACGCCTGATATTTTTAGTTTGCGCGTTATCCACGTGGTCGCCTTGGTTTTTCTCCAGTTCCTTTGGTTTTTTTCCCCTCCACATTTAGAAACCTGTGTTTTAAAGTATTTGGCTGCTATAAATTTCCGCAGTAAGCCGCTTAGTTGAGCTGTCATTCGTGGCCAGGTCGCTGGAAAACAACGAATAGTTCAGTGGCCTTTGCCTGGTAAAATAAAAATAGTCAAGTTTAGTTTATTTATCTCTTGACTTAAAGTTGTCGTGACCGCAGGAATTCATATTATTTGGGTCTTTTGATAAAGTCACGTAGATAGATTCAAATTTATGAAAATAAAATAAACAAAAAACGACATTATGATCACGACAAGCGATCGTCATCAGGATCGCTTGTGTTGTGATTCGAAACGTCGTAGTTTTTTGTTTATTTTTATTAATTTGAACCCATCTACGTGACTTTACCGAAAGACCCAAAGAATATAGTTTATTTATGTTTAGTGATTTACTTACCTTTTGCACCCATATCGTGTTTTATATTGTTGCAACTTTCTGACCCGCCCCTGCTGGACATCTGTGATAAAGCGTTTCATAGCCCATCGGATTTCTCCAGGATAAAGATTCTGATGTAGGTTGGCATTGAGTAAGGGACTCCCCAGGTCTGCCCCTTGTTTAGTTAACACTGAACGCACGCGAACGATAGATTGTGGGTTATTTCCCACTTTTTAAAGTCATCAGCTTTCAACAAGTGTCATCACAAGCTAACATCACCACCTGTAGATGACAATCTCCGTCAACTAGGGGGGGAAAAACATGAAGGCTGAGAACATTAAGCAAAGTTAAATTGTGCAAGTTTGCTTTTGTATTGTTGCTAACACCAAACGTTTGGCTCTGTTTGCCCTGTTGGCCATGCCATTGCAACACTGGCGGAAAAAAATATCTGAATGTGAGTTCACAGCATGCACTTTTGTTTCAAAATAGCTTTTGAATTTTTTAGAAGAGTAGGTCAAAAACGTGTGGAAGAGTAGGCCAAATACCTTCTACAGGGTCTCCCCTATTCATAATAATGTTTTTTTTGGATTAGATCGCGTAAATATAAATGTGTCATTAACCCACCACCACCCGACACAGCCAATTAGTAAGATTTGTCACGTAAACAAAATGTGCCAATTAGTTACTACTTCAGCACACCGATTATGTATTGGAGAGTAAACCAACAACATTCACAATTCAAGAGTACGACGTTTCGCTGGTGTTTACAACCAGTTTCATCGGGCGATTTGCCAGCCTGTATGTTCAACTGAGGGCCTCCCCTATCGCTTCCTGGGGCGCTCTTGACCTCCCTCTCGTGGATGTTCTGACAGCAGTGACGTGGGGCAAGCAACGACACGAGCTGCATCTTTAACATGTCTCTGCAATGCCTCTGTTTTTTATTCATTGGCTGAGCAGGTTCATTTGTTCGCCAAGATCCCTGCTAGGTTCTGATGGGGCACTTTGGTTTTGGGATTACGACAAGAGAGGAGGACTGGGCTCAGGGCCTCGTGCTGTGCATGACTTCAGCGGATCAGTAAAATAATGGTATTCTGTTGCAAAACAAAAGGAAATATAACACTGCCAATATTTACAAGGGCTGGTGTCACAATTGTAACATCACAACGAAGTTATATGCAGAAAATCAGCATCGATTAACTTTGCCTTGACATAATCCGAAGATTGGTTGCAATGTGTGATATGGGAGAAAGCTACAACGCCCCTTATAAGAAGTATCACCAACCAACCAGCATTACATCACAAGTTGGTGATCCCATAACATTTGGAAAAATTGTGGAGATAAGATGTAATGCCGTATTGTGCCACAAGATGTCGTGAGAGACTTATACACGATACAATGATGTAATATATTGCCCTAACTACTGTATTACAGTAGTTGTCAGCAAAGTCTTAAATGTAACATGTCATGCAAAATAACATACAACACATGTATGTGTGTACATGTATGCGCACACTATAGCATGTATACACTATAACCAACAGCACATGTCTTTATACACTAACTTACAACGCATGTAAATGTGTGCATATGTGCAATCGGGATAAACACTTTTTGGAAGTAAGCTTTTGAGTTCAAACCATGGATAAGGGTCGACTCGGCCAATTAGCCTGCCAAGATCGATACAATTAATGCCACTTTGTGGCGTTTCCACAGCTGGGATGGGGCTGCCTTGTTTGGGCATGGGCCATTAAATCAATTAGACACATAATGGCAGTACTTAAAGTACAGTACATCCCGTTGTTTGTTAAAAAAACGGAGCCATACTCACAATTGCCATAAACTTAAAAGGAAAATTAGCTTTTGGTATATCCCAACCTGTCAAAGCCTCCAATGCCTTTTTTTGCTACCCATTGTTCAGACCTTTTCTACTGTAGTGTTTCAAATTAGTTTGTCGTTTGCCCTCAAAGCTTTTAAATTACTTCACTTCACTTACAAAACCTATATTCTGAAATGTTAACTTTATAACTATTCAATTCCGTATCAGCTATGACCTGCCAAATGTCAAAACAATGCATATTATGTAAATGTGTTCCCAAGGCCTCGGGCACATCGTTCATGTTTAATATTTTCCCTTTGCAATTCATCTGTCAGTAATGGGATATTTATATTTTATGTGCACATACCCCTGTAAAACAGGTGGTGACAAGTGTGCAGTGTTTATTGAGCATTTCAGATTTGAGTGCCAGTCAGGGGATGCAATGTATCCGAGAGGCTGTCAACCGCGTAGATGAAGTGATGATATCAGCTCGTGTGTGGGTGCTGGGTGGACTATTGCGTCATAAGATCACGACAGATGGTGACGACTTAGATATATTTTCACCCAGTTTTGAATTGATCATCACTGATGATGATGAATACAAAGATATGAATGCTGTGCAGTGTGTGTTATTAATGTACAAACAGGGAGTTACGTGGGTTTTGTCTGGTAGGATGGGGATGGTTTAGTTTTATTTGTATGTGTGTGGGTGATTTGTTTACGTTTCTTGTTCTTTGCACTCCTGTTGTGTTGTTGTATTGTTGTTGTAACGTTCTTACCCCGTGCCCCTACTGGACATCTGTAAAAAATAAAATATTTATCGCTCATCGGGTTTCTCAAGTTTAAATAAATATTCTGATTCTAGTTGCCCACTTGTGACTGAACACCAGCCTGACACGTTGCATGAAAGTGCAGTAGTTTGTAAAGATGGATAACTGATAGGTTACTCTGGAAAACTAACTTTCTCCTGTGTCAACATTCATAGCCTTGAAAGCATGTTTATTTATAATATGTATAAACTGTTATTTGACATAAAAGTGGTTCAGGACGTAAGTCTTCATTGTTATTATACAGTATTAGGGATATACCATTGCATTGATTACTGTTCATTGTTATGCATACATTAAATCTTGTGTGTAAGAATCAAATGGGTTTTTTTTTCATTCCTATTTTGTAATGAATGGGTTCGTGTCACCTGCAGCAACATTATTTAAAATCATCAGCCTGACACGTGGTGGAGTTGAAATGTTCTACCGTTTGTATGCTCGCGCGGTGTAATGGTTCGCATACTGGACTTGCAATCCTCAGTTCACTGGTTCGATCTCCTGGTGGGCCATTAAAACACCTTCCAATATCTGTCCACCTCTGTCAATAACCCAGTAGTATAAATGTATACACCACAGTCAATCGAGAGGTCATGTATGTATGTGTATGTACAATGGCGGAGCCAGGATTTTCAGGGGGGGGTCAACCCCTCCTCCAGCAATGAAAAATTATAGGAGTTGTTAGTAAGTAAGGACTTGTCCCTTGCTTTTTATTCGACGCGTGTGCGGCGATGGCACAGCCATCGATCGAGGGTCAAATTCGAACCGTGTGTGATCGGCATCGCGCTCGCTGAAGGTATGCCTTCAGGGAAGTCGTGTACTCTGGTTCTTTCGGTAAAGTCACGTAAAAAGAGAAAATAATAAATTAAATAATAGCATACGACGTTTCGATTGCAACACAAGCAATCATCTGCGCACAATTCTGAGTCACTTATAACTGCTTTGCCATTACTTATTGCCAATTATGGACTCGGACTATTTTCCTATCATCTCATAGAGTCCCTGGCACGTAATAATATGCTACACAGTGGCAGTGGGGGTCGCAAAATGCCGATTTATCTATATATATAAAAGGGAAATTTGTGAATATGTGTGTCTGTTCGAAATGTTTAGCATACTTCCCGACATGCAACAAACTTGAAATTTTGCATGTGGGTAGTTTCCAGACTGTACACCATGCAAAAATTATAATAATAGATTTTTGTATATTTTTTTGGAGAGGGGGGGTGGGCAATAATTGATATATTTTGCACGGGAAGTGAGCTGTGACGTCACATCTGTGATGTCACCCGCATGCGGAAGCGTTACGCAGTGTGCCTGCTGATGTCACGCATCTCCCAACCCTCCGCGAGTAAAGTGCCATACGAATGTGTTGCAGGTCTAAGGCGTTCTTCGCGCAGCATTTGTTTATTATTTGAGTCGTTTACTGCCGTACGCACCCTGAAAGTTGCGTGTGTCTGCAGAAAGCGCGTGTATGTTTACCTATGGACGCGCGCGTGTGTGTTGGGGGAGCGGTAGTGTAGTGGTTAGCACGCTGCGCTATGAACCTGGCGACCCGAGTTCGATTCCCACTCACGGCCACCACCGGTGACGATTATTTGAACCGGTCCTGGGCCTCCCCTCGGTCGACTCAGCCTCAAACGAGTAACTGGTGTGGTGTGTGAACATCGCCACTTGGGGGAGACAAAGGCGGCCGGGCGTCGTGAATCCAAGTCCCGGGCGAAGCCGGGTAGTAAAGCTAGTTACTAATAAGCCAATTTCAAGGATGAAATTAATCAAAATGCATAAAAATCACTAAGAATGCAGAGATTTAGCACTGGAGCATTGCATCGGGAGGCAGGCTGACTGGGCGACGTACCGTATGTTTGTTTTCCCACAACCGGCGCCTCAGTCGATGTCATGCCGTATGTGCGGGTCCGACCACTGTAAATAACAACACGGGTGGCATTTGGTGACCTGCCGTAAGTGCGAATTGACGTATTGACGTAAGCCAAACCGACTAGGATTATGTAAGTCGAACATTGTTAAGTCCAGGACCGCCTGTATATATTTTTGCTTGGTTTTGTCAGGAAATTGCAGGCATAAATGGCGTCGGAAGATTTCGAATCCCAGGAGAATGAGCTGCTGGCGCTGAGTAGTATATACGGGGAGGATGTATTTCTTCGGGCTGAGACTGCTTTGGGAGGAGAGCTGCGGATCTTCTTGGATCTACCTGCAGGCTTCACTGTGCGAGGCGTACACATCAAGACAGGTGATCTTGATTCATTACACGTCTTTGCTTATCAACATCTAGCAGTTCATCAGCATTTGTTCAAGGCAGCCTGACCGCCGATGAGACACTGAATGTGCCGTGGTGGTGAGATGTTAACTACCTCACCTGGTATACAGAAGGTCGTGGGTTCTATCCTGACCCTGACGTCTGTATACTTGGAGTTTGTATCTTCTCCCCATGGTCGTGTGGATTTTTCTCCGGGTCCTCCGGTTTTCCCCTGCACATTTAAAAACATGCGTTTCGAATATTTGGCTGATATAAATTTCCATGTGAAATAAGCCATCTAGTTGAGCTATCATTTGTGGCGAGGTTGCTTCCAAAAAAGAGCTACATAGCTCAGTGGGGCCTTACCTGGTAAAAATGTATAGTTTAGTTTACAATGCTAAACCCAGGTCAGAGTTTGCATTGTTGAAATAATGCTGCTGAAATGATACATTTCCAGAAGGCTGTGTGGCTGATAAGATGTGTGACAAGTACTTGCATTGACTGATATGTGACAGAGACATATTGCCTGTTTATTTATTTTGTTGACAAATGAAATTTTGACTTTGAATTATACGGTCAGGTGCCAACCCTCAGAGTGCTTGACCCATAATCTGAACATTGGAAGTCGAAATCTGAGTTGTAGGTCGACTCGTACCATCACTCCTCCAGAGCCTGTAAAATAAGTTCTGATTTGTGGTTGCTATGGGAATGTAAGAATTTCCACTGCTGGGTCACAGCCGTAAGTGAAAATGTCCATTGCGTCACTTACGTCCTCATTTGAGCAGGACGACAATTTGACTTGCCTTGATACAGCTCCCATTAAGGATAGGCAACTCATAATTGATTATATCATACAATTTACATATGTTAACATACAAATGCGACTACAATTGTACAAAAAGTGAGGGGGGGGGGCATATGCACCTTTTTGGACCTAGGATTATCTTTTGTTCACACGTAGGTCCTACTTTCAGCACTGAGCATGTGAACATTTTTGCAGAAAATAATTGCTATGAACTTTAGGACACTGAATGACTTGATAGAGCACAACATATTATGACAGGTAAATTGTTCTGTTCTTTCAGAGGTGGATGGATGGCTAGGTGTGATGATAATAACTATGTCACAGCATTGAGCCAGAAATCCTGAGATACAGGTTTTTAACCCAATGGGGTCACCCAAGCTTGCAAATAAGTATAACCCGTAAAAACAAAGTTTTTCACTATAAATCCTTTATATGCGTGGCAGCGAACTTAATATAAAGGATTTAAAAATATATTCGCCTGTGGAGGACGCGGGGATCGATCCCGCGACCTTTGGCATGGGAAGCGATGGCGCTACCAACTGCGCTACTCCGCCACGGCCTGTGGAGGGGTTACGCTCTGGGCTCTTATACTGTGACGTTCAGCCAAAGCGATGAATGAGTTTTATTTGAATATATGTAAAATAAATTTTTTTTGCCTAAAAAGTGTAACATTTTGGGAATTTTCACAAACATTAATTGTCTGGCACAACGAGTCTGTGTGGAAAATGTCAGCTCGATTGGATCACGGGAAGTGGGTTAAAAAACGACCGAAAGATTTGCACGGTCGTAAGCAAGCAAGCAAGCACGCAAGCAAGCAAGCATGCGAACTTAATATAAAGGATTTAAAAAGACCATATTTGGTGGGCAAATGGACTTCATAGCCCGCTTGCCAATGACTCCACAGTTTGTTTATTCCTCTTAGAAGTTTGGAGGGTACAGTGGATGACAGTTCCTCTTTTGGACAATCACTTTTGATTCACCTCAAAGTAGTCCTTATTCCGATTTAAAGCTTTCGTGACTGCAGGGATTCATATTCTTGTTTTTTTCGGTAAAGTCACGTAGAAGGGAAATAATAAAAAATAAAACAATACAAATTATCACGACGTTTCGATTGCAACACAAGCAATCATCATCAGGTGTGAAAACTACAGCAAGGAAATTCCACTTCAGCTAAAAAAAATCTTGCTGTAGTTTTCACACCTGATGATGATTGTTTGTGTTGCAATCGAAACGTCGTGAGAATTTTTATTGTTAAATTTTTATTATTTTATTATTTCCCTTCTACGTGACTTTACCGAAAGTACCAAGAATATAGTCCTTATTCATTTAACCCTGAAGGAATGATACATTGAGTCATCCTGTGAAAACCTTCAGCCTGTGAGTTGTGCACTTTACACCGGGAGGAAACAATGCATGGTAGTGATAGAGATAGTATTACATTGTGTAATATTTTGGAGAAACAAATCAAATACTACACGCATACCCATTTCATCTCATCCACACTTTGTTCAACCAACAGTCTGCATGTCAACACAGTTCTATTTCTGCTCATTCCCTTGAATTTCTCAACATTGTGTATTGTAATTCCCTCCCAATCATCTCTTTCGCAAGTTCTGATAACCTTGCGCAACCCAATAAATGTTTTAACTCTTCTCTATGACAGCTTGAACAGTGTTGGTTTTCTCAGTGCTTGAAAATGTGTGGCCTGCACTCGGGGACCATGATAACAATTTTACGAGGGATTTTGTTTTGTTTTTTTAAATAGTATGAATGCTCACCATAATAAATGTTAAAAAGTGATTTGGAGACCAGTAACTGTTAATGATTTCATCGTCGTTATAACACGTGGTTTCATTCCTGAGGTAATTTTGGCATCTTGCACAATTTTGCTGATTGGCATTTGTGTTTTTTTGATTCGTCACTCAAAATGATGTTTATCACGTGCTTTAGTGACCATTTGTATTTGCTGAGCAAAAAAAGCACGTTAATTTATACTGTAATATATTTGTAAATTTAGTATATGGGTTATGCATATGTAATATAATATCAGTACATTTATTTTGGCTGGTTGTGAGTCCAAGTATCAGCGAAAGTTGATGGAGGGCATCATTCTGCCTGGCTAAATACAATAATTACCACTTTGTAGGAAGCCTAAAGTCGTACTTGGAAGTCTGGGCACTGTATTTGGAATATATAATTTCCACTGCAAACTCAAAGCCATTTATCGAGATTGCATAATAGTCCCTTGTCCCAGATTCATACTTTTTATTGACTATTAGTCTCCTAATTGGTTATTTCATTTAAAATGTGTCCACATTTTTGGTTCTTAAAAGTTTTGTATCTTTCAAGTGTAACAACCCATATCTCCATGAAGTGTTTATAGGGTTGTGCACACAGTCAGGTATATTTTGCCTGCTCTGCATTGGACTCTACAAATGGAACATGTATTATTTTATGTTTTATTTCATGTTTTATGATTATTACTGCAGTTATTGTATTCATTGTTAAGATTGGAAAAAAAAAGTATATACCTTTTTACTGCATCGACTGAGATGAAAGGAAGACATTGACAATTTGGACACAAGAGTGTTAAATCACATATTGGTTTGAATAACATCTGAAATATACCGGAGAGGTTTTCCTAATACACTTGATAACCACCATTTTACGACAACAGTTATCCATTTTTCTTTGGAAGGATTATTTTGCTTTCAGAGTATAATATTTAAACATCCTCATAATTGTTTGGACATATGTATGTTGAGCTTCTTTCGCACCGTACTGTAGCCAACCATGCTAATCGGAGGTGCGGAGGAAGGACAACAAACTAAATACAAAAAGCAGTTAAAAAGAAATTAGTTTTAAATCTAGCTTATAGGTTATTGTACAAATAGCTATGACAGCGAATGTAATAGAAGTTACCACTATACGATGTTAAGGCTAGTGTTTATTGTGAACAAAGTTGATGGGCACATGCCCTAATGGAATGCAATGTACACGTGTGGCTGTCCATGATGAAACCACAATGACGGCGTTGTGCAGGCAGCGGAGGTACTGGGCCGGGTGAATGCGTTGTGGTGCAGCATCTTCCTCCACTGGTGATGAATTTTGAGCTGCCTTCCGACTACCCTTCAACATCTCCCCCACAGTTCACAATATCCTGCAAATGGCTGTCGCGTGAGCAGGTCAGATGTTCGAGGATTTACACGTATATCGTTTAGCCTTCCCATTTGAAATTTAGTTATTCAGTTGGTGAGACCGTGAGGAATGCTGATGATTTGGGGAAGCCATTATCCAGCAGTGGATAGAGCATGGCTGCTGTTGATGATGATTGCTGTCATGGGAGGGAGTAGTTGTGTAATGCTCAATACGCTGTGCTGTCGACCTCAGTTTGATTCCTGGCCAAAGCTAACATAGGTGCAAATGTGTCTGAACTGGTCCTGTGCATCTCATCTGCAATCCACAAAGACTAGAGGGGTGAAGTATGGTTAAACAACCTACATGAATAATATGGCATGGAGATGCCTTCATCCATACACTGGATTGACAAAGGGATGAAATTTCGATTTAAAGCTTTCGTGACTGCAGGGATTCATCTTCTTGGTTCTTTCGGTAAAGTCACGTAGAAGGGAAGTAATAAAATAATAAAAATAAAACATAATAAAATAATTCTCACGACGTTTCGACCACAACGCAAGCAGCCGTCCTCAGGTGAAAACCAGGTCTGTTGAGGCGACAGCGTCTGAATGAAACAGCACACGTGCTTGGAGCATATATATAAGCTGGGTTGGAAGGGGGGGAAAGGGCACCTTGACAAAAGAATTTGCATATCAAGAGTAATTTAGCATATTTATGGGAAATGCAGGTATGTGATTAGTACTACTTATGCCATTGCATTATGTGTAATGGTCAATCCCCTCCCTTTGATGCTGCTAAAATTGCATAATGCACGGGCATAAGTAGTACTAATCACATACCTGCATTTCCCATAAATATGCTAAATTTCTCTTGATATGCAAATTATTTTGTCAAGGTGCCCTTTCCCCCCCTTCCAACCCAGCTTATATATATGCTCCAAGCACGTGTGCTGTTTCATTCAGACGCTGTCACCTCGACAGACCTGGTTTTCACCTGAGGACGGCTGCTTGCGTTGGGGCCGAAACGTCGTGATAATTATTTTATTATGTTTTATTTTTATTATTTTATTACTTCCCTTCTACGTGACTTTACCGAAAGAACCAAGAAAAGGGATGAAAGTTATTTTAATTAGTCTAATTATTATTGGTGTCATCTAATTTTCATGACAACATTTCAATGCGTGACTATTGCAGAGAGCAGAGGATCAACTTGTGTCAGATTGAACAATGACAATAAATAAATACTTCTGAAGTCAATTTATTAAGCATTTTATTCTACACACATCTTGTTATATGCCATGCAAAGATCATTGTAAATAACTGGATAATGCCAAGTTAGGTGATGATATCCTATACGTGAGTACCTAGTTCAATCTCAGCAGTGTGAGCCCTGCGCTCTGGCATGGTATTAGCCCCCCTGGGCAACCCGGCCACATCCAAGATTTTCAAGTTTGAATGTCTTATGTCAGCAGTAACTATGGCAATGCAAATGTCATCACAGCTTTTGTTTGTTTGGTTCGTTTGTAAAATATAATAAAACATTTGGTAGTCAAGATTTCCTTATTATAACAAACACTGATATTGCAAATAAATTCAATTGTGGGAAATGTTGATTCATGTTGTTGTGGATGTGGTGAGCACACATAAATATTTTGTTGTGTATCTAGAGGGGACAGTGAAAATATATCGGTCAAAATGCTCAATGCCTTGGTTTTTTGGTGGTGCTCATCTCCATTGCGATCCCTGGGCCTCTGATTAAACTCTCAAAACCACTATTCACTTCTCACAGAGTTATTGTCATTTAATCAACCTCACACAGATGGTGGACTGAGTCCCTGACAAACATTTTAACTTTTTACTTGTAAAAACAAACAAAAAAGTCAAATGGTCCTTATTTAGTCGTATTTCTAGACCCTACTTCAATGTAATGTGCTTATTAGAATAACTCGCATGAAAATTTGTGATAGATCATGGGTTTGCAGTACTTTTTCATATTTTTGGTAATAAGAATACAATGGCATTCATTCTTTCATGTGTTTGTGATCATCCTTAATTTCAACCAGTTGATGTTCCATTACAGTATATTTATTTTAGAAGAGTAGTAAATATAACTGTAATTATATGTTTCACTTCGTAATATATATTTAACATTTCCATTTCATTTGCTGCTCTTTCTATGAATTAAGTAGTTATCGCCACATGTTTGCTTGTTTCCTTGTACAGTTATCATGGCTTTGCCACACAATGGATGAGCTATGGCAGGAAAGCAGAGGCATGGAAATCTTGTATACTTGGTCGCAGTTCTTGAAGGAAGACACATTGGATTTTCTCAGAATTGCTCCACCCCTGGAAGTCAAGTCCATCGCCGGTGGAACGACACGCAAGCGTGATCATGGCAAGACGGTCAGGGCAGAAGCGGAGCCCGAGGACATCGTCAAAACCGCAGCAGTCGACGGTGGGCGAGCGGGTCTATCGCAGTCTCCAGCAGCGCACGGTGAGGCGAAGCAGCACAAACGGGTTCCCGGCGACGTGAGACCACTGGACCCACGGTCCATCCAGACCTGCGAGTCCTGGTCCTCACTGTACGGTGAGCTGCTGGACTACGACCAGGCGCAGAGGCAGAAAGTGTTCTCCGCCCGCGTGTTCAACTGTCACATCTGCCTGTGCGAAAAGCTGGGCTCGTCATGCGTGAACCTGAGCGGCTGCGAGCACGTGTACTGCCGCGACTGCCTGAGTGCCTACTTCCAGCTGCAGATACAGGAGGGCAATGTGCACAGCCTCACCTGCCCAGAGCCCAAGTGCCAGACAGCTGCTACCCCATCTCAGGCAAGTAATGGGATGGAAGTTCATTTAAATGTGGTATTTGCCCCTTTAAAATTGCTTGCTCAAGCCTCGATTAGAGGGAGCTCTAGAGAACCCCACTAGAGGGTATTTGGCCTCTTCCACAGTGGTCAGACGTCTTTGAAAATGTGGGAGTGCCCTCACTTTACCCTGCCGCACCAAATGTCGATTTATTGACGTGTTTTTGCTATAACGCGATTCTTCCATTTGGGAACGCTTTTTGCACAGCGCGGAATGCGTCTATTATAATTTGGAACACGCACCCTTAAAACGAGGTTTCTGACTAATTTTTTGAGCTGGGCGACAGAGCGGTATGATACAGTTCGCGGAATGATACGGTCACGCGGAGGCGTACCCTCAGTTATTCCACTATTGCGTGCGCATAGTACATTGTATCTCGCCAAATTTTATTGTCACATTTTCATGGGGGCATTCTTTTTGCTTCCCGCGTTTTTTTGCACTTAATGCCACATTTCAAGAACGCATCTACCATGTTAAACGAGGACTGCAACTTTAATGTACCCATTTATACTGCTTGGTGGACAGAGGTTGAAGGGATTTGAGAAATATTTCCATTGTTTCAACGACCATACTGGGATATTGCATTTATTGTTAAAAAACACACAGGCTTCCATTTAAGTTTGTGGATATTTATTGTGCTCCATAAATCAAGAGACACTGCAGAATGTTACGGTTTCAAATCCTGGTCTCCATCTCCACTAATATCCTCCTGAGCCAGTGGTGGAATTTATGTTTTCATATGGCAACGGATAACTATGTATATGGGATTCACTGTTGAATTCCTCATTGTGGTCCCAATTTTATTGACCCGAGAAGTACAATGGACTTCGTCAACCCTCGACTGAAACTTTAAATGGCAACCTTTTTGAAAGTGTGAGTTGAGCACTCGGATGTTGCAAAGCCGTTCTGGCAAAATTCCTAAGTGGTGTGTTGTGTTCATTGCACAGGTGAGAGAGCTGGTGGGAGAGGAGCTGTTCTCTCGCTACGACCGCCTGCTGCTCCAGTCCAGCCTCGACCTCATGGCTGACGTGGTGTACTGCCCGCGCATGAGCTGCCAGACTCCTGTGCTGCTGGAGCCTAACAAAACCATGGGCCATTGCCCCCAGTGTAAATTTGCCTTCTGCAATGTGTGCAGGCACGCCTACCACGGCATCTCGGCCTGCATCATTAAATCAGGTGTGTACACATTGTTTCTTTTGTATGTCATCCGTCATTTGAGTGGGTGTACCCAGGTCATTCGGTCTGTTATGAAAGTCAGCAAATGCTATATGGTATTTAAGGGTATCTTGCACTTGAGAACAAAAAATTGTTGAACAAAAATATTTTTTAGATTGTAGATTATTGTAGACTCAACTCAAGGTCAAAGTGTCTGCTCAAGAGTGTTGGGGTGGCTCTTGTAGGCCTTCAACTAGTGTTGATATTGGCCTGTAATTTTTGTGGTCGTCTTGTAGAGCCACCTTTTAGAAGAGGACAAACGGAAGGAGTTCTCCATTCCTGGTGTACTGAAGTTTCCTTGAGCGATAAGTTATATAAGATGGACAGGAGGTGTATCGATTGTCTTGAGTGAGGCGAGTTGGCTTAGCATGTCAGCACTGTGATCGTATGGTAATTAAAAGCTTGGGGTAGATTACCATTACTACATAAACGTGGTGAGGCTTTAGATGGGACAGATACATTTTCTAGATTGCATGCAGAACATTTTGGCTGAAGGCTTGTAGATGGCCATTTGGATGTCAACTGTTTTTTCGAGTGCCTTATGGAATGGTGCTATGATGATTTCCAAGTATGACGACTTGAGAGAATTTTACATAGCATAAGTCAACAGTACATCCAATAGAGGTTCGTTCCTCATTTTATCTACTTTTGAGCTCGTTGCTGAGTCGATTAGCTGAGTGAGGTTGAACCAATTAACAAAGGTTTGAACCTCATCTGGTGGGTTGAGCCAATTCCATTTTAAATCTCTAATAATTACTCATTCTTTCCTGGTGAGTGACTCTAATCTTTCTAAACTCTGCAATGGCGGTAGCTGGATTAGCCAGCTCTGGTGGTCTATAGCCACACATTAAAAGAAGGATTTGGTTGCCAGCTAAAGTGGCATTTATGATGACTACTTGTACATAACCTTTTATTCGTAACAGAATGGGTTTGAGAGGATGGTGTTTTATTGTGGGTGTAAATAGCTATGCCACCACCTCTTGGACTGCTATCTAGATGAAATAGAGTATAGTTACTCATTTATATCGTGTTTATTGCAAATGAAGAGTGATATCTGGACAAAGGTGATGAAATTTTCGTTTACGTGGACAATCCAGAAGCCTGTTCTGTTTGCAAATTCACCAGAATTAAGATTATACAGAATAATTCAGAATTGAGATGGGATTTAACCTCGATTCCACCCAGTATTAGCAACATAACCAGACATTTACAGAGCAGATTATTTGAGAGGGGTAAAGGAATAGCTTTTTAATGATGGGTGGCAGTTAGGAGAGGCTCTAAGGAAAGACAATAATGAGAGGAAAGTGGAAGAGGGAAAAATAAGGGACTTGACACTCCATGCAGAGGGACACTTTTGGGTAGGGTGGGGGAAAGGGGTGGGATGATGTAGTGGATGTGCAGAATGGGAGGGAGGGTGTGTAAGAAGGGTGGCATTTAACAGAAGGTGTCGAGAGGGGAGTTAATGAGAGACATTGCACATAGATAACTCCAACACACTAACAGTCTAGTTAGGTTTGATTGTCTCAAATAGGCAGTACAGAAAGGGAGCAGCAGGAACTCAGGGAGGAGCAGCTCAGGCAGACCCAGAGAGCAGCAGCTCATTAGCACAACCACTCTGACAGTCCATCATTGTTCCAGATCTGATCAAATGTGAGGTTGCTTATTCTCCTCTGCTACCCCCATTGTGCTGGAACTCATTCACCTTGTGCCATTCAAGCTGCCAACCTTCTGCTCCTATTCAAGTCCAGGCTCAATGCTTTGCTCTTATCTATCGGCCATGATTCTCTTCTACAAAAAATACCTATATCTCATATATACGCAGATTTCTTTTTCAGCTCCTTCCACCCCCACGTGATGTAAATGTCCCACTATTTTGTGCAGTGGCTTGAGATGTAGTTGCATTTCATTGCTATTATATAGGGTTTTTTACTTGCAGGTTGTCTGATTGTGAGTTGAATGTACTCACAACAGTGCCCCCTAACGTGAATTAATGTCAGCCCTTAAATTTAATTTCAGACGCATGTTCACGGTTAACAGGCTCGACGCTGAACTGAAAAGCAATTAGCCATGTATACAATTGCACACCTGTACTCAAAATGGCTGTATTTACAAGGTGTTTTGAAGTGACATGCATTATGTTGTCGGCCACATGAGTAGGTTTTATTGGTTATCGCAGGAGGCATGTGAGTCACAAGGTTGAATATTTACCATGCGGGGCAGTGACATGGCAGAGCGTTCACGCATTTTCTGTTTGTTCCAAAGGTTTGTGGTTCAAGTGCCTGGGCGCTAAGGTGTAGTGACCATAAATGATGCGCTGTTTGCATCACAGCGGATGTTAATGATCCTGTGACGTTCGGAAAAATATCGGCCACGTATACTGGGGGTCCAAATAAAAAGAATTATTTATCCATTAGTTGAAAACAAATATCAACATTGCCCCCCGACTGGCAGACTTATGCCCACTTGCAGGCTGGTGTTGTGTTCGCCTTGTGTACGTTGTAACAAATAAGTAGGCAGCATAGTATCTATATTAGGGTGAATTTAAGTTGTGCTTATTCGTTTACCTGAATGAAACCAGTAGGCACATAGATGGGATTTTCCTTGCTGTCACTGCTAAATAAAGTATTTCTTGTGCATAAAACGTGACAAATATGTACAAAATACTAGTTTCTTTCAAAGAGTCCAACACACATTCCTATCTCATAAAGATATTTGAAAGTATTTGCCGAGTTTTATATTGCCGTACTACGCAATGGGCTATATTGCTGTTTTGAAACATTGTTCTCGACAGCACTTAAATGTCATGTGTTAATATTTTAACACGCTTGAAGGTTACACACTGTATATATTGCTGCTTACACATGTGCTTGCTGCTTAGTGCCAGCACCCGTGTTTCCAAGAATCAATGGAGGGAAAAAGATTATATAATACGATTCCTGTAGACATCTACAAGATCTCATGAAAGATTTTCAGTCCTTTGTCATGCACTGCTAGATGAATGCCTCCCCATGCGTTGTTGGTTGTGGATTGTTGCTTGATCATCCTTAACCAGGTGGGTTGATAAAGGTGGAGACCCAAGATCTGTTCAGATATCACTTGCCGCTTATGTTAGATGGTCGGCAGGTTCATAGCGCAAGGTGCTAACCAACCCAACATAATAATACTATTCAACGATGGCATTTGTTCCATTGACGACTCTGAGCCAGCGGTAGAAATTCCACGTTCCCACGATGGGAGGCCAGTTTCTCCAAAGGATGACCACTGTTGACTTGGCGGCACAAAGTGATACTTAATCCGATACAGATGATGGACTGATCAATTCCCAACAGGGACGAATTCACAACCATCCAAACTGTGGTGTTTTCTCTATACATGTGTAGTGACTGTGATTGTCACTGTGGTGCCGGGCTTAGAAGTCACGGCGGATGATGTGTTGTCATTATGGGCAGCCCGGTCATGGGGTGTAGTACCAGCCCTAGCGGGGCTTGGGTGAGCACTGGTCAGCACGGAGGCACCGCGAGCAGTGTGCAGTGCGGGCTCCCGGTGAGGGAGCGAGAGGGAGCGTCAGCCAGCCAGGGTTACTTTGGGGCATGAAATGTTGGTTGACCTGCTGACACTTGACCAGATGATATTGGAGGGGGGCCACCGGTGGACGGGGGCCGCTGGGCGGTCACTTGGTCTAAAAGAGCTCTCGGAAACCTTCGAGAAAGAGCTCGAGAGATCTTGAAGGTGGGCGGGGCGAAGGGCGGAGCCAGCCCCAGCCCAGGGGCATATAACGGGGGCCCCGTGAGGAGCTCGAGGTTCTTCATGTGCTGTTGTGAAGAAGATCCACGTCAGGGAGAAGAAGCCTCGAGCCACACCGTCCGGGACCCAGCTTGTGGTCCGGGCCGTGATAGCGAACTGTGCCTAGTTCTGCCGTAGCGTGATTAGATGGGCATTCGAGACCCGAGTGTAGATTGTGTAATGTTGTGTTCGGTTGCAGAATAAATAGTGTTGCTCCCAAGATAACGTCTGCGACTCGGTTGGACTCACTACACATGTTGTCACACAACCAATTATATTATTACTATAACAAAATTGCAACGTTATATTGTGGGAAACAGAGGGCAAATCAGTAAAATATTTTGTTGTACTGAACTTCTATTCTTCCATGTCTATGCTCATCTCCACCAACTCATACTGACCAGCACGGTGAACTGTGATCAAACTAACCCGCACGCTATGGGCAGGCCCTCATCCAGCAGCAGATTGACTTAAGTGCTGCAGATGTATACACACACTTTATTATTGTATTACTAATTTATAACTATGGCTGTGTGATCTACATCACCTCCGAAAAGCAACGTACATAGTTAAACCCACCGTCCTGCCACAAATATATTTTGTCATATGACATCACATTTTTAAGATTTTTGTGAAGTCACTTGCTCAGATTACTATGTCTATGAAATATTGAGCACCTATTACACATGCTTTTAAATGTCTATTTGAAGCTCAAGGAATCAATTTCACTTGGAATGCAATTGCGTGATATTACCAAATTACATCAGCCCTGAGAGTGGATATTGGCATGTGTGTTTTGTATGATTATCGTAAAGATGTCACTGTCATTTGACTGCCATAGAAAAAAATGGCATCCTAACAATATGGTGTAGTTGGTCTTTACGAATCTACAATATTGTCATATGTTGGAACAGCACAGGATACATGTAGCCTAGATATGTATTTCAATATTAGTGCTATTTTGAGGGTGCATCTTCCTTGAAATGTTTGAGAGGGAAGGACTGGGTTTTAAGTAATTGCCAGGTATTAAAATTGTACACTTTGGACCTGTGAATATTTATGGAATAGATACTTTGGTTATTGAATTATAGAAACTAAATCTGTAATGTGTTTTTTCCATGAGCTTACTCGTACCTATTTTAAAACTGCAATTTGTGTCCATGCATGCATATTTTCCTTCCACTGCCATGCGTCATACAATTACAGTTGTTCTAATACACACGTGTAACCTGCAATTTTCCCTTCTGTAAAATAAACATAATGCACGTAGCTTGTGAGACACCTACATTTAGAATAATCACCATACCAACAATTTCGATTTAAAGCTTTCGTGACTGCAGGGATTCATCTTCTTGGTTCTTTCTACGTGACTTTACAGAAAGAACCAAGAAGACACCATACCAACAATCCGGTGCAATTGCTCTCTGTGAATTTGTCTTTTTTTTTCAAAGCATGCCATCTGATTATATAAAAAAATATGGAATTGTAACGTTTTTCACTTCAATAACTTCTGCAGGGTTTTATTTGTTTTCAAACATGCTGTCTATGTGAGCACAATTTTTTATGTGAAAATCCTTCTCTTGTCGAGTAATGGCTACACCGAAGCCCATCTTTTAATATTAACATAACCACACAAATGTTCATGCCATCTCGTCTTCCACTTGTAACATTTACCCTTTCAATAGACCCAGCCCCTCTGATGGGAATGTGGAATCTCCCTCCCCTCCTACCCCCCAACCCTCCCCCCAATTGGCCAAGGGCCACCAGCAGAGATCAGTGGCAAATCTTTGCATATTTAAGCAGGAGAAGAATTATTTGAATCGTTAACAAAAAAATATTCGGGTATGAAGAAAAGCTATCTAAAAGTAGGCATAATAAATGCCACCTTATCTGGAAACCATATTCCTCATCCAATGTTTGCCGATAGACCCACCAGAGCTGGCTAATTCAGCTCGTGCCATTGTAGAGTTTAGAAAGAATATTGAGTCGCTCAGGTATATGTTATTTAAGCAACATGCTTAACTATTCAGCACTCTTGACATTATTTTTAATTCTTAAAGCTAAAAGAGTCGTAGTAACTTGCATTCTTCTCACTGCTTATCCTGTTAATACAAGTTTATAGACTGACAAACAGGAAATTTAATTGATCCAGCTTTGGTAGACTTACGACCTTCATAGCCCTTGAATTCAGCAAGTAATTTCATTAATAATCCTCTTTTAAGCGTGCAGTTTACATAGTACGGCTGATAGGATTGTCTTCTTTTATGTTTTTTTATCAGAGAACCTCGGGAATATCGTCAAAGAGTACAACAATGCGGACGCCGCATCCAGGGTTTTCTTAGAGCAGCGCTACGGCAAGCACACGATCAAGCGAGCCATCGAGGAGGTGCACTCCAAGGACTGGCTTGCCCAGAATGCCAAGGCCTGCCCACGCTGTTGCACACACATCCAAGTGAGACTCGCTGCCTCCCTTGGCTTCCACTTTCTCTTTCTACTGCTTGGCACCGATTGCTGTACGAGGGACACGGTTATTTGATTTAAAATGGTTCATGATGGTTGTTTTGGTGACGATGAGCCATGCTGCGGTCCTGGGTGTTGGCTTTTGTTTTTTAGGAGGGATTCATGATGGTCGCTCAGATCTTGCGTTCAATACCAAGGCATGGGTGTATTTTGTGCTATGTTTCTAGCATCACTGGGAAGTGGTGTGCTAGATCTGTTTGATCCACATGAACCACGACAGCTCTCGGCTAACCAAAACACTAAGTGGGCTCGCTTTTCATCCCGAGCCATGAGCTTTCACTGGCCATCATAGGGTCAGCGCAGAAACAACTTCCATGGTCCTTACTTAATTCTTAGTTTCTTAATTATATTCACTTTATTTCATTAATTGGATTAATTTGCTACCATAAATTCCCACGTTTTAAAAGCCACTTTAATGAGCTATCTTGTGTGGCCAGGTCGCCTCTGAAAAAGAGCTGACAGGTCAGTGGGCTTTACCTGGTAAAATAAAAAAACTAGTTTAAATTCCTGAATAAATCAGCAGCGTTCAAAATTTTAGTCGTGGCAATGTCCAATGGAGATCAACACGACCTTATTTTAGGAGAGGGATACTTAATCTTTTATTCCTTCATCTGCATGAGTTTGTGTACTATGGTTATATCTTTCTTACATATGCTCAGTAAAGAACTGGCCAAATATCCCACAAGGTTTTTTTTTTTTATGCTGGAGACAGATGTTTGAGACAATCAAGCATTTAATATACAGTATACAAACTCATTCTATGTTCCTGTGTAGCATTATGGGTAAAAGCATATATAAGCAAATCTTTGTTCCATGTCTCCACATATAAATACAAATGTTGTTTTAGTCCATCGGCTAACTTTCTTTTCAGATCATTATCCAGCAGCATTTGTTTAAGCAAGCAAACTGCTGGGTCAAGACAGCATTTAATATGGACTAAGTAACTATAATTGTTCTTGGCATATTAAAACCGATTAAGCTCAGAAGCTAGCACACCTAAAATATTTATTCGCATGCACCAAGTTCCATACCAGTCCAATGCGGTTGGTCGATTGAATGAGTCAACACATTCAACATTCATAATGGAGGTTTCGGCTTTAATTAAAACGAGCATCAGGCGCAGCCAATGCTGAAGATGCTATTTGTAATTACTGCCGAAACGTCGTACTCGAATTGTAAATGTTGTGGGTTTACTCTCCAACACACCGGTGTGTTGTGCGAGTAACAAATAGGCATGTTTTGTTTACGTGACAAACCTTACTAATTGGCTGTGTCAGGTGCTGGCAGGTTTAACGACAGATATTTACGCGATCTAACCCAAAAAACCTCTTATGGATAATATTGGTCACGAAACCCTACGTGTTAAACTGTATTCAACATTGCTCCTCTTATATGGGCTGTTAACTTTTACTTTGAGTAACCGCACATTGTAAGTTTTGTATAAAAAAATCACGCGTGCAGGGAAGTTGAACATCGTACTTTGGAAATGCATATTCTTTGGTTCTTTCGGTAAAGTCACGTAGATAGAAAAATATAAATGAAAAGAAAGTGAATTAAAATAATCAAAAAATATGAATAAAAAACACTAATGTAGACTAGCCTGGTTCTTAATCGGAGTGAGTGTACTGGAAGTCTATAATGTAGACTGTAGCAATGGTTATTAAGCTGGGTGAGTGTACTGGCAGTCTATAATGTCGACTGTAGCCTGGTTCTTAATTTCGGTGAGTGTACTGGCAGTCTATAATGTAGACTGTCGCCTGGTTTTTAAGCTTGGTGAGCGTATTGGCAGTCTATAATGTAGACTTGTAGCAATAGTTATTAAACTGAGTGAGCATACTGGCAGTCTATAATTAGTCCGAAGCAAAGGTAAGGTAAAAGGTAAAAACAACAAGCCTACCTTTACCCTACCTTTTACCCTTACTCCATACAAATTACCTGACTACAGGGTAATTACCGGGGTACTACACATGAAAAAGGTTTATAACAGGTAAATGCGAGGTAGAGCGCTTTATTCGTATAGAATACTCTCGAATCGGGCTTTGAGGCTGTCGACGACACCATCCTCCATAACTGCCTCGTCCCAGTCGTCTTGGTCGATGACAATCTCATCAACAACCTGATCAAGTTCGTCATTGCTGTCGTTCTCGGACGAACAACGGGCAATAAGATCCTTCGCCGTTCCGGCCCGGTTAGACGGGACCTTCAGGCAGCCGGCCACGATCCACGAGCGCAAGCACATGGACTGAATGAAGAGCGTCGACGACAGCGACTGGCGAACGCATATGAACTTCTTTCCGGCTCCGCTATTCGCGTGTTCGCAGGGAGTGGACGTCGCGGGCGCTCCCAAGTAGTCGCAGGCCATCTTGTAGTGGGCAGGGAGCAGCTCTTTGCGGGGAGACCACTGCATTACATCAGTCAAGGCACTGACGGTCGTGACGCCCATGATCAGAAAAAGATCGACTTCATTGCCGTCGTCGATGGAGCTGCCGACGGCGCTGAATAGGGTGCTTAACAGTGACCCCTCCTCCATATGGGCAGCGACTGCCATCGGCGGGATCGCGAGCACGTCTGGGAGGGGGGGGTTGGTATGCGTATGCATTTCCTCTCGGTCAATGACGTGCGTTATTTTACCATTTCTACCCCGTCCGAGCAGAATAACCCGAAATGGTAGTTCTGTCAGCTTCCACTTCCATGGTGAACTGGATGGATGGGCTTTGCTAGTTGAGATGATTTAGAAATGCATTCAGTGTATCTTTGCCACGTGGCCAGACCACCAATGTGTCATCCACATATCTAAACCAAGCAGATGGTTTTAGTGTGCTTGAAGCTATTGCTTTTGTTTAAAAATCTTCCATGTGTAGTGGCATCGGTGGATACCACTGCAGGATACTATAAGCCGGCCTGTGTGAGGCGAGACGCGCGCCTCTCACGCCACCAACAGCGGTGCAGGAGGAGCGCAGTACCGGGTCTAGCAAGGGCCGGCAGAGATCGTCTGAGGATGGAGAGCGCAGTGCTCTGTGTGCAGTGCCAGCCTCTGAAGGGTAGGGGGCCCTGGGGCTGAGACGAGACCCCTCTAAAAAGCCCGAGAAGGGAGGCGTGGAAAAGAGCGGACGGAGCTCCCTGGGCCGGGAATATAAACCGGACCCCCGAAAAGGTTTGGGGGGGGCTGCTGATGAGGAAAAGCCCGGAAGTCGTCATGCCGGGAGAAGACCTGCCGATAGACGAGACCCCGGATTAGCCCGGAGGAGATACCTCCCTAGGGTAGCTGACAAAGGGACAGCTATACCCTTTCGTGTGTATTAGGGAAAGTTGTAATAAACGTGTTGCCTCCACGCCGTCTCCGAGTGTCTCCGAGCTGAACACTACACGTGTACAAATTCGCTTTCACAGGAGACAAAGGAGAGCCCATTGCTGCTCCTTCCTTTTGTTTTATAGAAGTCGCCTTGCCACAAGAAGTCGGTGTTCTTTAGACTGTTCAGCTAGTCTTGGGATATCTTTGGCTAAACCGTTGTTCGTTACCAGAGTGTCGAGTAATTCAATTGACTCGTTGACCGGAACCCTCGTGAACAGAGAGGTCGCATCAAAACTTACGAGAATATCATTAGGATTAAGCTTAATATCTTTAATCATATTTACGAGATGTTCAGAGTTTTTTTACGAACAAAGAGGTCCTACCGATGTAGGGCTGTATTTGTTTCATTACGTATTGTGCTAATTTGTACGTGGCAGAGCCTAATGTACTAACTATGGGTCTTAATGGGACATCAGTTTTGTGAATTTTTGGTAGCCCATAAAGTCTTGGTGGTTTTGATGCCCTTGGTTTGATGAGGTATTGCTCTTCCTTGGGAATTGATGACTTGGAAATGATTGCCGTTTTACGTTCCAAAGTGCTGGTTGGGTCTCGTTTAAATGTAAGGTCGGTACCTTCATCGAGTAAATCTTTGATTTTATTATCATAGTTCTCGCTGGGCATCACAACAGTCGATCGGCCCTGATTAGCAGCAAGATTTCGGATATCTTTATTTGCTCTCAATTCTCTTAAGGCTTTTGCTTCACTGAAGTTAATATTTGTTTTTTGGCACTTTACTGTTCTCAATAATTTTGGCAACCTCGTGCCTAGTCATCTCAGCTTGATTGAGGGAGATGTCTAACTGCTGATTCCACCAGGTTACAGTCCACATTGTAGACTGCCAGTACACTCACTCCGACTAAGAACCAGGTTACAGTCTACATTAGTGGATTTTTTTTATTTGTATTCACTTTTTTTCTACGTGACTTTACCGAAAGAACCAAAGAATATTCATTCTTGCAGTCACGAAAGTTTTAAGTAAAAATTTACAAATGCAATTCTAAAATAAATTTCAATATTGGTCCAAAAATTGTTTATTGGTACCACCTAGCAGGGCATATGCTCACAATTATTTTCTTAAAGCATTTTATTTTTAGATCACAAATGTTCTGGTAGCAAGGTCATTGTATGAAAACATGTCCTGAAAGAAGGATACCATAGTAGGCTGGATAGAAAATATTGTCATACTATATTAGAAAAAAGTTTTGCTGGCTGGCTTTCTGCCTGGACTCTTGCCTGTCTGGCTTGCACACTAGTGCACGTGCATGGTGGTGACATCACGTATATTACAGTTGTCAAGAGAAGGATGTTGCTGCTTTTGTTCCATCCTCTGTGGCCTGCAGAAAGTGGATGGCTGCAATAAAATGACTTGCACTAGCTGCCAGCTCTATTTCTGCTGGATCTGCTTGAAGGAGCTGTCCCGCGCGAACCCATACGGCCACTTCAACGAAGCCCGCTCACCCTGCTTCAACAGGTGGGTGTTGTTGTGAGGTTTGCTAAAACCCAGACATCTGTTTTATATCGTGAGGTAGATTTGTTGCAAGGCGAACGATGGTCGCACGTTGCTTTGGAACTCTTTCCTTTTATTTGTCACCCAACTTCACTTATAAATTACTAAAATAAAAAAACCTGTTGATTGTTTGCCGATTAATATTTTTGTTGATTGGCTGCTTAGTGTTAATGGCCGCTACATCTCAACATGTCTTGTAGCTCTAAAATGTCCTGGTCCTAGCATTGAAGGCATCTGCATATCCAAATGCTAATAGACCTACATCTGACTAATTGATTCAAACTTATATATATAATCTTAATTATGGAGCTTTCGTGACTGCAGGAATTATTCTTTGGTTCTTTCGGTTAAGTCACGTCTAAAGATAAAATAATAAATTAACTTATATATATACTTCAGCTGCTCATGATTAATCCTGCAATGTTTGTCTTAATTATGTATATTCACTCATTGTATCTATCTGGGGTGATGCTGTGGATCATTTGATTTGCTTTACGAAGTTGCACATTTAGGTCTAATTCATGGTTGAAAGATCATCATTTCACGGAGGTTAAATAAAATTAGTACTCCTTTGTGGGAGGTCAACAGTGCTCATCTTATGGAGAGATTTACGAATGAAGATAAACACAAGCCAGCCAGTGTCGACTTGTGCAGAGAGATACACACTAACCTTTGACACACTAACACACTGTTCTGAATTCTCGTCTAATTTACAACAGGTGGTTCACTTTTCCTGGACAGTTCAGAACATGAACTGTGTCGCAAACGTAAATTCGTAACATGATTTGCATGCTCCTTAATTGGCTACTAAACTCTTTTCTGACAGCGATTTGATGTACGGATGGTTATCGTTGTTGTGTGCACCTTTTTCATCCAGGCTCTTCCAAGGAGGAGAAGGGGATGACGACTTCTTCCTTGAAGGAAGCGACAGTGACGAAGATGATGGTGATGACATTAATGACGAAGAGCATTTTGCACAACTTATCAGGGCACTGTGAAAAAAATGCAGTATATTTTATCATCAGGCATTGTCAATCCACTACTGGACGAAGACCTTCCCACCCTCTTGCCATCAACCTTGTTCCAGTGCTGCGAGGTCATGAGAGTATCGGCATGCCACTCCACATAAAGAATTTGTACACAACATGTGCATTGTAGTGATAAATTAGGGTGGTATATTGTTGACGTATATTTAAGAGAAAGTTGTCATAGGCAAGAGGAAAACACTTTCCAGTCTCGGAGTACAGAAAATTCAGAAACTGTTGGTTGTTCCATCATATTCTTTAGGTATTTTGGTAAAGTAACATAGATAGGTTCAAAAAAATAACAAAAAACTACGACGTTTCGATTGCAACACAAGCAATGTTTGAGTATTTTCAGCTTGCTTGCATCAAGTAAATAATTATTACGTTTTTTTTCCTATGGATAAATTGACCCAAACCCTCAAGTGACCACAGAGATGCAAGATCACAATACCATCCTTACACTTTTCTAAGTTACCTATTGACATCTGGTAACCTGCTCGCTACATATTTAAGGCCGTAAAGATAATGTTATTTGCATTTGGTGTTCATGTTTGAAAAGATGTGTCAATTGATCCAGAGTTAACATGGCAGAACACCTTACACGCACCTCTGATGAGCAGGGTTGGCTACATATGGTGCGAATGAAGTTAAACATTTATTCATACACGGACTGGCTCCAGTATGAGCATTGAGCAAGGGTCATATTTTCCTTCATAATTTTATCGACAAAGAACCGAGTTGACTCCCAATCAGGATTTTCACTTGTATGATTGTGAAGTGAGCATTCTGCCATCATTCTTCCAAGACAGATAATACACACCAAAGCGACACTATTTTACATTCTAGTAAATATTTAGTTGTGGCCTCCACACGTTTTTTATCAAACCTTTCCATCTTCAATGTGGACTTTATAACAAACACCTCGTATAATTCACAAAAGTAAGCTATTGGATACTGGTGTTATAGCCCATGTACCATTGTTTTATCAAAATTACATTTCTTATTTGCTGCACTAACTTCAGTTATGGGATCCACGACCCCCCTGTTTTTTGAGGAATTAATACATTACTTAATTGATGACAAAAATACATAACCCTATTGGTATGATGTACAATTTAGGTGTGCGACAGCCCATATTTTAAAGTAACAACACTGTAACACGATTCACTTTTGAGGCATAAGCAATTGGAAAATAACACTACCCAGGAACAAAAAATATATACTTGGTTCTTTCGGTAAAGTCGCGTAGATTTAAAAATAATAATAAATAGAAAATAATAAAAGCAAAAAACTACGATAAAAATAGTAAAATGAAATTACAAATAAACTTAAATAAAAGCAAGAAAACCACAACGTTTCGATGGCAACACAAGTGGTGTTCATCAGGCGCTTGTGTTGCGATCGAAACGTGTTTTTTGCTTTTATTATTTTCAATTTATTTCTAATTTTGTTTTACTATTTTTATTTTTACTGTTATTTTGCTTTTATTTAAATGTATTTTTATTTTTGTTTTCTATCTACGTGACTTTACCTAAAAGAACCAAGAATATAAATTCCTGCAGTCACGAAAGTTTTAAGTCAAATTTTTTTGTTACTTTGATTACACAATCAATGTCACCCTTGATGGGAAGATATCATTCGGACATGTGGGCTAATTACACGTTTTGCTCCAAAGTATTGCAGTCGTATAAGGCAGACCTGTCGTCTTGGACTGGAGATGCTGTTCTGCTTCCTGATGCTGGTGAAATGCAGCATCAACATATACAGCACAGATGACCACTAAAGTTCACCTTCCTCAAGAACCGCTTTCTGTAAAGCCAATTGAGCCATTGTGTCGAATTGAGCCTTCTATAAATAGGTTTGCGTGCACTTTTGTATGTTATTAGGGGTGGCAGTGACGAGATGTTAACTACCTTGCCTGGTATACAGGAGGTCGTGGGTTCGATCCTGACGCCTGTATATTTGGAGTTTCCATGTTTTCCCTGTGGTCACGTTGACTTTTCTCCGGGTTCTCCATTTTTCCCCTCCACATTTAGAAACATCCATTTAGAGTATTTTAGCTGCTATAACTTTCCATACGATAAGCCACTTTGAACTTTCATTTGTGGTCCGGTCGCTTCAGAACTATTTTGCTCAGTGGGCCTTACCTGTAAAAAAATAATGTTTCTTGAAATGTTTTGCCACGTGTGTATTTGAGGTGTTTTAAATATGCACCGATACACACGTTCTTGCATTTTCTATATTGAATGTATACAATTATAAATAACATTGTACAATGGCTGTAAAATGAGGAAATGTTTTACATGCCAAAGGAATGTTCTATTGTGTGTCTTACGTACCATTAGGTATGACATTTTGTTGAGTTAGAGCTGCAAATATTTGTGAGTTGTAAACCAATTAAACCCATTGGGTATTGAATAAGTATTGTGTACTTTGTATTCTGCGTGTGGAATATGCAACACGTGTAAATTACATTTCGTATCCCCCACGCTTGGCTTTCCGAGGTGCGTGTTTTACCTCTTGCTCACGCTAAAGTGATTGGTGGGTCTGCTTATTACATTGTTAGTGAGCATAAGAACACCAAATGATAACACAATATAACTTGACTAGAATATTTCAATCGCACGAGGTTTTTTTTTTAACACGGAGCAGGCTTTCGCGACCGATATTCATAAGAGGTTTTTGGGGGTTATATTGCGTAAGTATAAATGTGTCAACCCTCCACCATGCACCCGACACGGCCAATCGGTAACGGATTTGTCACGTGAACAAAACGTCAAATAGTTACTACTTTCGCCCACTCGTGTGTTGAGTAAATGTACAACATTTACAATCTGAGTACGACGTTTCACTGGTAATTACATCCAGCATCGGGAGATTTGCCAGAAGAGTGAAGCCATCCACCTTCCGGTCTTAAATAGAGCAATACGACGTCATCACTGAACCCAATCAGGTACGGAGGAGGTGGGGTATTGTAATTACACTAACATTTTTTTTGTTCCTGGGTAGTAAGTGTTATTTTTTAATTGCTTATACCTCAAAAGTACAGAAAATGGCTATTATTCCCCATAAACTTTTCTTTTGTGACCAGGACAATTATAATTTTACATTTTCCTATTTTCCAGAACATTCCAGATAGATTCAGTGCTGAGTAAACTTGGGGTAACTTCTCGAACATTCTCGAACTTTCCAGTAATATCAATAGTATAAATACAGGGGCCTTAAGCCCACCAGTTCAGTTTAGTTCCAGCTGCCTAAGTGGATACATGTCTGCATTTTTCTGAGGTGCCATCAAGAGGCTGCAAGCATCCGGCAGACGAATTTTGCTATGTCTGTCCAATGTATCAAGACGAGCGAAAAAGTACTCTGTGGAAGCATCTGCTAAGGTGTGTGAGGCCTACAAGCAGCTTCTTCACCCGTCAAGATGGGCTCTGCTTCTGCCACAATGTGACCAGCATGTTGGAGGCAATCGAAATCGCCTGTAACCAGAATGAGTGGCGCCTCTTCATTGACAGCTCATCCAGGAGCCTCAAAGCCGTGCTGCTCCATAATGGTAACAAGTACCCGTCTCTTCCCCTGGCTCACTCGGTGCACCTCAAAGATGATTACAACAGCATGAAGACCTTGCTGAACGCCTTGAAGTATGATGAGTACAGCTGGCATTCCTGATGGGTCTCCAAGGCGGTTTTACCAAGTATCCCTGCTATATTTTCCTTTGGGACAGCAGGGGGACACCAACGCGCACTATCACAGGTGGGACTGGCCACAGCGGACCGTTTTATCTGTGGGGAGGCACTGATGCCACCACTGCACATGAAATTGGGCCTTGTGAAACAATTTGTCAGAGCTGTAGATAGGGAGTCTGCAGCCTTCAAGTGCCTTCAAGACTTCTTCCCTCAGCTGTCTGAGGCAAAGGTCAAAGCCAGTGTCTTCATCGGACCACAGATAAAGAAGATCCTGGAGTGAAATGTATTATCCAAGAAGCTCACGAGTAAGGAGAAAGTGGCTTGGAACAGCTTTGTCGCAGTGGTTCATGGCTTCCTGGGCAATCACAAGGTCGAAAACTATGTGGAGAATAACTATGGTACAATGGGCTGTAGAATGTCCATAAAAGTCCATATCCTTGATGCTCATTTTCATAAATTAAAGGAGAACATGGGAGCGTCCTCGGATGAGCAAGGCGAGCGCTTCCACCAGGATATACTGGACTTTGAACGCCGCTACCAAGGACAGAATAACGAGAACATGATGGGAGGCTACATTTGGGGCTGATTCGTGAAAGTGATTTACAGTATAATCGTAAATCTCGAAAAACTACTAAATCTTTCGTAGTAATTTTTGTATTTCGTATAAATACATGTTAATTTTTATTTATATGTAGTTTTTTCTGACTTTATGTAAACGAAAACACAAATTCGCCCGTTTTCTCATTGAAAATAGGTACATTTCAAAATATTACTGTCCTGGTCACAAAAGCAAAGTTTGTGTGGAATAATAGCCATTTTCTATACTTTTTAGGCATAAGCAATTACGAAATAACACTTACTACACAGGAACAAAATATTTTATTACATAATATAAAATAGATTAGTAATCGGTTAATTAGTATGTTTCCTCTGTAAGGAATTGTAATGTGTATTACTGAATTACTTAACACAATCACTGAACCCAATCAGGTGCAGAGATCAGGCGGGGGCAGGGGGGGGAGGTTTTTTTCCGCCACTAAATTTACGTGAAGATGAAAGTTAGTCAACATTTTGGAATCGCATATACGTATGGGATTATTCCTACAGAAACTGGCTGGCAACATTGATTAATTAGTGTTGTGTGTGCAGTAGGAGAAAATGCTATAATTTAAAATGTAACTTGAGTTTTGCTTAATACAAGGCACTATACCATCTTTGCTGGTGTTTTCCCACTGAAAATCCATGTAAGGTTAGGAAAATTATTTTGACTTTTAAAAGTCGATGTGATTTGCCAACACGGCTGCGTGTAGCATAGTATCGACAAGGCTTGATTATTGCAACCCACTCCTCTACGGAACTTTTAGCAAAAACATTTGCAATGTGCAGCATGTACAATATTTTTTGGCACGTGTCGTGACGGGTACTGCAAGATCCCACCATGTCCGTCTGGTGCTTGCTGAGCTGCATTGGCTTGCTGAATGAATGGATTATAAGATCAGTTTAACACGTAGGATTTTGCGACTAATATCAATGTTATCCATAATACTAAATCTATGCGATCTAACCCAAAAAACTTTATTATGGGACATAAGATCGTCCTCATTACACACAAAGTGCTTGCCAAAAAGGAACCACAATACCTTGCTGATCCCGTCAAGGAGCATAAACCATCACGCGAACTCTGGTCAGCTTCGCAGCAGCTTTTGGCTACCCATTGAACAAAGACGGCGACTGCATCGCGCGCTTTCAGATACACTTCTGCCATCTGGAACACATTTCCGATATTAGAAAGAGACTTGAGCTATGCGCTGTTATATCTAGATTGAAAACGCATGTCTCTGGAACTGCTGTTTGTGTTCAGTTTGTTGTCCTTCCCCCCGCACATTTGGCTACGTACGGTGCGACGGAAGTTCAACATACAAATGTATCCTAATTTCGGTCACTGGACAATGTTACGGCTGAGAAAATTGAATAACCGTAATATTCGCTCTGTGGGCAGTTGTGCATTGCAGCATTAGGGGCACTGCTGTATGTATCAGTTGAAATGGGATATCGCAAAATAAGATTACTTTCATTAGGTCACGGTTTAATTAATGTGGCTAATGCTATAATGTTTACAGTCTGTTATTCAAGTTTAAAGTGTCAAGGTGCATGATTACCAGCATTTATGTGGTGCAATATCAGTAACTGTTCGGGAATAAAGATAATTTGAAGTGTGAACATGTGTTATATATAATTCTAGCCTTTTGCCCGTCCAAGGACGGGTGTATTTCAGTAAATCTGAAACTTGCAAGCGAAAAGCAGACCGCGACGTGATATTCATTGCATCCATTCGTGTGCAATTTGTAAGGCCGCGGTGACACAGACTTAATTCATTTAAAGGTTATAATCCCATGTTTATCATGACGTCCTTTTTACTTCCATGTGTCAATAGCGTTACGGAGATCGCGTGACGTGAGGGTTCTGCCTTTGCAGTGAGGGTTGTGAGTTGACGCTGAGGAGGGGGGAGGAGGCACCACGCCCCCCCATGTGGAGTGACGTCACCCGCTAATATTAAAGGTGGGGGCTCTTCGATGTGGAGTGACGTTACTGCTCATGATTATTAATGAGGGGGGGGGGGTGCTACATGTGGAGTGACGTCACCCACTCATTATTATTAATGAGGGGTGGGTTCATGTGTAGGACGTCACCTGTTCATGAGTATTAATGAGGGGGGCTGGCCGACGTGGAGTGACGTCACGCACGGGACACACATTATTGGCTCATTATAGTAGTAAATAGGAATATACAATGCCAATATGGATTGTTCACTGCTGTAACATGGGACATAAATTGGTGATGGTCATTTGGAAATGTTTATTTTGCAGAATTTCATCTGCATCACAAACATAAAATGAGAGTTTTGCTGCCACCACAGCCATCTTAAATGTTTGGTGCCATTTGTATCTGGGATCCATCTGTATCTGGGATCCGTTTCGAGCACGAATGCTGTTGTTGACTGCACAAGAGTGGCATTAAAAAAATAACCCAATTCAGCCTAGTTTCGAGCAAATAATGTTTTCTGTATAATTTGGGGGGAGGGGGGGGGGATTTGACAACAATGAGAGTAAATACGATACAAACTTGGTCGTTTGAATGAACGTGGCTATGCTGTCTTGAAATTGTGCACTACCACAAAACGATTGTCTCGTGTGGGTTGGCAACCAAAATAACAAGAACAGTTTTTTTCGAATTTGGGTTTTATAAAAAAAAAACCCTCAATACTTACGCCCAACTTATGAATATCCACACTTACGAACGAGCTTCCATAAAATATATTTTCTTTAACCATCCGACTTGTGAACGTGAACTCGCACTTGCGACACGAACCACGAAACTAATTACAGTGTTACATGCAAATGTACAACATACCTTCATGTTTATGAGTTTAACAATGCTTACTTTTTTTGCTGAACTTTAACACATTTTAGGACACTGACCAGATGTGCAATTAAAGTACGGGATATTATTGTGCTTGGACTTACGAACCGTTCGACTTACGAACCGTCAATTGAACGGAGCGTGTTCGTAAGTCGGGGACTGTTTGTATTACGAGAACTGCAATGTATGTGAGTACGAGACAGTCTGTAATAAATAACTGTCACAAAGCAGTCCTTAAAGAGCCGAATGCGGCTCTGGAGCCACAGGTTGCCGACCCCTGGTCTAGTGTCACCCTTTTTTCAGATGGTTGGTGACG